TTCTCGTAAAGGTTTAGCTGGCAAGGAGTGATCTAGGCTTTCCTTGGTGATGTGTCTTCTGATGTCCTTGGTGCTCGAGTGGCTTCAGAGGCACAGGTGTCACAGGGCTGTGATTTCAGCATCTGACAGCAGCAGTGTAAGTTATAGTAAAAGCTGTTGTATGCTAATAGGATGCTGCAATGTGACTGTGAGGGTGCGTGGTTGGGCTCTGCGTGCAGCTGGAGGAGTTGCTGACATCCAGGAGCACAGCCCCTCACGGAAAGGGGGTGTAAAGCGTTGTGGGGCTCTGCCATTTTTCTGCCTTATTTCATCCAGCACATGTTTCAGCGCAGATTGTTGGAAAGGATGAACGAGAGCTTACTTATGAGTGCTTACTTTCCATATAATCCTTAATGTGTGGAAATCTAAACCTAAAAGGATTGATTTTAATTTCCTCCAAAAAGTTGCTCCTGGCAGAATCTGATAAAGCTGTTTTTAGCCTAATTCTTCCCAGCCCTGCCCTTGGTGAGCTATCGGAGCATACCTATCTTTAGGAATTCACGTGGGGATCACCACAGCTTGCGTTCATTATCTCAGATACCTCCCAGATCGTCTGGTGGTGCACCGGGGCCTGGAAAAGTGGTCTGACAGCATTTTCTGAAACTTTTCACTTCTGGGGGAGAACATCCCCAGATTCTTGCTGGTGGTTTCCTTCTCTGCCCCGTGTCGAGCTGCCTGTTCAGCGCAGAAAGCTAACGAGAAGTGGAACCGCTCCATGGCTCAACTGCTCTGTCCTGCTTCTTTCTTTGCTCCAAAATTTGCTTATTTGTGCCCAGGGTTGCTGAGTCCTTTTGGTGCCAGACCGACCTTACTCCTAGCCTTCAGCCTGGCAGCCACACGGCCGGGACTCGAGCTCCTCCTGGTGCAGAAGAGCAGGTCACAGTCTGCTGCAGGAGGGTCACAACCTGGCCCCAACCAGACAGAAATTTTGTACAAATTTTTAAGAGCTTTTGGGGTACGTATTCTGTTTTTTACCTGCTACTAGCCCGGTGAATCAAGTAGCGGCTTTCCTATGTTGGAGAGGTCCTAATGAACAAGATGTACCCTCACCTTCCAGAACGTCGGAGTAGGAAATGCAGCAAGGGTTAGTTTTAAAGCAATTTGCATGTACTTGGTAAAACAAAATGATCGTCACCATTCCTGAACTCTGAAACAGAAAAGAAATTTCTGTGGAAACAAAAACACAAGCTTGCGACTGCCCTGGAGCAGAGTGATGCATTGCAGGAGAGTTTTAGCATCGTGTTCTGACCTTTCTGGAAACAGTTGATATGGAAATATTTTTGTCATATTTATTTAAACTTTTTTCTTCATTTATTTAAACTAGGCAGTGTATTTATTTGAAAAAATCAGCAGCATGCCAATCCCCAGTTCTTGGCATGTGAACAAAACTAATCACGCAATAAACGTAATACCCTTAAATCTGCGCTCAAATGTTTTCATCCTAGTGCTGTTAGGAAAGTCCCTTTGTTCTTGTTCTCGATGAACAGCACCAGGTGTGACTGTGGTAGTTTTAGGAGATAATGAAGATAATAACAAGAGGAAGGTTTACTGGAATCTTCAGTGTAACGGCTATAGCTGATTTGTGAAATAGTACTTCTCTACTATGCTATTTCCCACACTTATCTTGGGATTTTTTAAGAAACAAGGCAGTGTGCTGTTTTTGCACCCTCCTCCGTGCCTGGCCATCCTCCCAGGTTCACCCAGGGGTGCTGTTTGTTGCCCTGCCTCTACCACAGGCTGGAAACAGCATTTCAGAGTTCTGTTTTTCAAGCGCTTGAGGGAAAGCAAAGGCAGGTTGACCACGGGTGTGCCAAGTGCATGTGATTCGCGACTCTAGGAAGCCAGAGAGTGAAAAAAGTCAATACAATACCTTGGCTACACCTTCAGGGCTGGATCCAGAGGCAATTAAAACCAGTAGAAGTCTTTCTGTTGACTTCAAAGAGCCTTGGATGAGGCTGCTATTCCACAGAAAGCCACCCGTCTGTCACCAGTACTTTGGGGTAGTTTCTATGGGAGGTGGGAAAGAAATTGAGAAAAGGAAAGAGAAATTTGAAAGGAGTGGTTTTATCTGTGCTTTTGAAATGTTTGAAAGAAGGCGAGGTCAAAGCTTACCTCGCTATGGCACTGTTATTGAGAGATACCTTAGGTGCGTGGCAGCATTTGCAGCGATGAAGAGTCCTGCTAATGAAAGGCAAAGTTTCTCCAGGGTCTGAAATAAATGATGAGGCTGATGGCAGTGGCTAGGGGTATTGCTGCCCAAGGCACGTGGCATTGAGATGAAGCCCACTGTTAAGTTATGGTTTGCATGTGGCTCACATATGCTTAAGATCTGCGTGCCAAATAAAAGTTGGAAATACGTGAGACGAATTAGACGGCAGTTATGAAGTAGACTCTCTGCAGAGGAATTTTCAGTCTCTGATACTTGGTTACAGTAGATTATTCAGCCTCTCTTTTCTGTCAGTGCAAATGAGATCATAACTCATATGTGCATGAAAGCAAATGGGTGGTTTAGATCTAAAAACGCACAGCTGCCTAACTTTGATTTATATTAAAGACAGACATAGAAATGATTAATTCCAGCATCTTGGGAATTACTTTTAAGTATTAACAAAATTAAGCAAACGATGCCTCAGCCTCTGGGTGCACTGAGGTATGTGTGCAGTTTTGCTTGATGGTGGGATGGCAAGATAAATGTCAGAATCAGGCTCCACACCAAAGTTCAGCAATTTGCAGAAGGGGGATAACAATTTTGGAAATGACTAGCACTGTATTAATTGTGAAATCAGATATTTACCAACCAACTTCAAGTCCCCAGAAACGTCCTCGCATTGTTGCACAATGTGGTTATTCTTCCTTTAGAATAAGTAGTGGATCCAATATATTTTTTAAATTAGAGAAGAGATGCACTTGGCTGTACTGGCTCGGCGTGTAGGGCAAGAGAGAGGCCTGATCAAGTGTGTGAATTTCTTCTTTAGCTTTGCTGTCACCGTAGAGTGGCATCAACCTGCATAGAGAGTGCTTACTGAGGAGCACTGGAGTTTTTGCTAAAGTAGCGGTATTTTAGTCCAAAGATAGTAAATGGATGAAAGTATAAAAATTTATAACTGAGTTTGGTAGGATTTGACATTTCCTTCTCGCTGCTGATGTTCATTGCCTGGGGAGAGATGTAGAAAGAATGAAAAAATGAACTTCTGATGAAACTTGAAGACTTGTAAAAATAGGATAACGTTAACTCAATTTTATTTGTGTTGATACTAAAGGAAAACAGTGGAGTTTATGAGTCTGGGTAGCTCATGAAAGTCTTATTTTAGAACAAGGGACAGCATTTCCTCCATTTCTCAGTACAAGGTCGAATGTTGGTCTTTTGGGTTTTTGGCCTATGGGGCGGCCACCCCTGCCGCAGGCTCGCCTGGCTTCGCGCCTCTCGCAGAGGAGCTGCGTTAATGGCTCTTCAACCCTATTGATCGCAAGGGACGTCAGCTACCTTTTGTCGATCCGTACCGCTCTTGCAGCAGGAAAAGAGGCTTTGTCGGAACATCACTTATGCAGGCTTTTAAGCAGCAACATCTGATCTTACGAGTTATGTCCATTTCTCTCCATGTTGATCTGAACTTTTCCATTTCGGCGCAAGTTACTGCTCTCGCGCTGGTTCTCTGTGTACCTCTTAACACAGAAGGGGCTGAATGAGTTGGAAGTAGTGCTGTGATTTAAAATAGCCACAGCTGTCAATGCATATGCCAATTTCTATTCTAGTGGAACTTCCAGAGCTGCTACATATACAAATTGTAGTTTTTTAGTTTTGAAATGTATTCATAGGCTGGGAAGAGCTTGAGCTGTAATTTATTGCTTAGGAAATATGTTGATGGAGTGGCTCCAAAACGAAGGAAGAAGCCTCATCTCTGAAAAGAAGGATCGAGAGATGATTGAACCAGTGTGTTTGTGCTCGAGGATTAAACCAGGACGCTTGTGACATAGCATGTAATGACTTGCATAACATGTAATGAAGAAATTGAAGCTGAGTCTCTGGGTGCATCATGCTGAGTAAGAGGCTTGTTCTACATGAAACTGTCATATTAAATTCTTGTCGTGATTCCAGACCCCTTTGATTCCTAAACCTTTTGGAGGAGACTAATCTGAAATCAAAGTGAAGTTGCTTGGGGTTTGCATGCCAGAAGTGGTCACATTTGAAAAAGTTCAGTGAACCTGCAGAGGGAGGTTGAAATTAGTTGCTTCACTACAAAGCTTACATCTAACATACCTGCTGATTTGCTTTTTGCTTTGATTCTTCAGGCTCTGCCTTCTTACCACCTTCTGAGTTGTTTTCAAAATACATAAATCTTATGAATGAGCATGTCCTGGTTTCAGTCTGTTTAGTAAAAAAAAAGAAAAAGGCAAATCAGTCTACACTGGTAAAACAAACATGAGCTTTAATGCCAACGACATGGAAAGACTGCATTTTGCTCTTCTGTCTTGTCCTTTGTGCGGTTATTTTCCTTGGTGAAGGTGTATATCGCGCTTTACTCTCCTGATTTACCAACATTTGACCTCCCTTTGTACCAAGGTAAATGGAAATGGTTCCTTTCAAGTTCTTCTAAGTAGATACTGAGGGCTCCTGCCTTGATCCCTGTAAGATGACTCTGCTCCTTTGAAACCGCTGGAGCAATGCCAGGAATCCAGCCTGTTATCCCTGCTGAATGTCAGCTGCTTTCTCTATTTTGATATTGGCATTTTGAGGGGCTTTGACGAAGAATATTGTGCAATATTAAGTGCAAATAGGAGCATTTCCAGCAGTTTAATTCTGCCCTTCCGTATCCCCTTCAAGCTTTGCGTAGGCTGCCAAGAACCTGGGGATGTGCTTTTTGGTCCAGTTAAAAGAAGACGCCCGCGGTAGCCATGGCCCTTGTGTAAGCATGTAGATGGCCCTGCGTGAAAGCTGATCTGTTGTTACTTTATATTTACAGTGTTCTGTCTCCTGTGGAAGGGGCCAAAAGCACCGCAATGTGTACTGTTTGTCAAAGGAAGGGAGGCATGTAGAAGAAGATTATTGCAAGCACCTTGCTAAGCCCAATGTGCAAAAGAAATGCAGAGGGGGCAGATGTCCGAAGTGGAAAGCAGGAGATTGGGGACAGGTGAGACACGTTGTATACCCTTTTGCACCCTCTGATATTCCTCCTCCATCAAATTGGTTAAAGGATGGTTTTCCCATCACTTCTGTCCTCTTGAGTTTTTCAAGGGTAAAAGTTTTGGGCCAGATCCTCAGGTGGTGTAAATCAGTGTAGCTTCATGGATAGCAGTGGAGCAGCACTGATTTCTACCAGATGAAAACTTGAAACTTGCTTTTAGTGTCTATCTGAAAGCAAATTCCTTGTATATTTTAAGTTTCTGCTGGAAAAGGCATTAGTATATAATATTAAAAAGAAACTGCCATTATTCCTGTTTTTAATATTGTTATTATTTAACTATGTCACATCTGAAGCAAAATCTTCCTTAGTTTTGAGAAATCTGAAACTAGTTTTATTATCGACTTCCTGGGACAGCCTGAAGAACAATCAGAGCTGTTCATTAAAAATGCTTTTCACTATCTTTTGTTTCTTAACAAGCTCATCACTTGATTTTGCTTCATTAAAGAGTCAGACACTGATGCATAGAGCATAGGCTGCTAGAAATGTGAAAGTGCTTGCAGTTATTAAGCGTCCTGTTTGCTGAAAGCATACCTTGAATCCTTGTTTTCCTGAAAATGTCTTTGTCGTCACCTTGGATCTGCTGCATCACATTTTTATCTCTGAACCTGGCTTTTCTCTCTACCTCATTAGCGTGCTAATCAGCAGAATTATTGAAAATCGCAGACTAAATGAACTGTTAACTTGTAAAACATCGTATTCTCTTGCGGTCTGTCTTCCAAATTAAGGCAGGAAACACCAATTCTCGCTGTATGTGAGTTCCCTGAGAGAGAAACCATTAGCATCGCTACAGGCACCCATGCAAAGGTTAGGACTAGGACAGCATACTCTTGTTTAATGTCGACTGTTAAAAAAGACAATAAACCCACTGATGTTCTATGATTCTTTTCAGACTTGGGTTTGCTTTTTTTTAAACGCTTACCTTCGAATTCATAGGATAGGAGTATTCGGCCTTACATGTGTGAAGGGATAAGATTGCATTCACCGTGGAGGTTCAGTTACTGAGGTCTGGGTCCTTTACCCCAGGTATGGCTGGGAGCATCCAGGTAGCCCTGTGAAATGCACAGCGCTGCTCCCATATTGGAAATTAAGTCAATATTATTACCTTTATTACCTGCAGGACTGAAACCTCCATTTTGTACAGGAAGCTAGCTTGAAAATGAAACTCTAGGCCATTAGATAGTCTTGTCATATCTGATTTGCACCTTATTTAAAGTGATTGCTTCTGAAAGCAGTGTTTTACAGCTAATAATTATAAACATAATAATGTAATGGTCTGTTGATTGCATTAAAAACCGCTAATTTTATTTAGTGAGTCTTTTAAAATTCCCAACATTTCACTGCATGATCAGAGTTAATTTTATGCAAGTGGAGAAAGAAGCCCAAGTTAATAGGAGGATGAGGTGATTTATGGCCCGAGGTAATCTCTTGTGACTAGGCAATTAAGGAATATTTGTATGCTAATGATAAGGCTAAGAATAGGGAGCACATTTCCAGCTTGCCGGGTGGCTCCTCGGCCCAGGTCCCTGGTGCTGTATGAGCTCAGTCAGCCGGCATCTTTCTTAGGAAAAAATAAAGGGGTAGAAACACTCATTCTCCCATCTCAAACCGAGCTTTTTAAAGCCATGGAAAATGCTCTGACATGGCTGCCTTGCATCCTGATCCTCACTAGGGCTGGCAGCGTTTCTTTGCCTGTGACAGATAAAAAGTTGGGGCTGTCAAACATTTGGAGCATCGGCTGCGGCCATCCCTGCGAGAGATGTGCAGGGCTTGCAAGGCTTTGCAAAAGATTCAGTGCCTCAGAGCTGAGGTGGATTTAGGTGCTGAGCTTCTCATTAAGGCGAGGGAACAGGCAGGGGTCTGGCACTCGGAATACCCAGCAGGTCAGGATCTAAATGGGCATGGAAACTCCATGTCACCTTCCCCATCACCGGGGCCACTGCTGAAAATAGGAGCCATGATCAGTTTGCACTTAGATACTATCAAAAAAAAGCTTTCTGAAGGTCTAATTGCCTCGAAAGATAATCCCAGAGCTGAGCTGCTGTGAGCTGGCTGCCTTTTGTCCTGAGTAAAGCAGCGAAAGTCTGCGTGAGAAACAAGACAAGTTTTTCCCAGAGAAGTGCACCCTCCTTGTCGCCATATAGGCACAGGACCTGTTGCATGTGTCTTTAGGGTATTTTTCCTTTTCCTTTTGGGAAAGGGAATGATTACAAAAATCAGGATTAAAAAATAAGGGAATGGTTAAAAATGAATCCCAGACAGCTAAACCAAGTGCTCTGCTCCCAGGTTTTCTTCTGTCTGGATGTTTTGTATTCAGAGGCCAGGTAATTCTTTGCTAGATTGTTATGAATCCACTTTCATGCAGCAAAGCATTTTTAATATATCTGTAATAATCAGAAAGGAAGAAAAAGGGCTTTTTCTCCAAGTTTTAAATGTGCGTGTGTCTGCACTGAGATGTCAGATTTAATGTGTTTGCTTCTCCCAAGTAGTATCAATTATGGCCATTTACCTTTCACTTAACAAAAATACCAATATTTATTCTGCTGTCTGGTATTTACATATTTCAGGCTGAAATCCAGCCCTTTCTAAAAACATAGGTAGAGCATCAAGTAGAGCTTCTCCATAGCCAAGCTGGCGCTCGGCAGTGTGGTGGCTGACTTTCTCAGCGGGAAAATGTGTAGACGCAGTAGGAAGGACAAACAGGCTGCCTGGCTCATGGCATCCCCGGAGAGGAGTATATAAGTACAGCAAAAGCTGACTGCCCCAAGCGGAGTGTCTTCTGTGGGGACAAAATTTCACCCCCAGGCCCTGGGTGAAATCAGTCTACGGCTTTGCCCAGTGCCCTGCTTTGCCCAGCACGGCCAGGGACCAGCCGCCTGCTCCCCAGACCCGCTCTGCCCCGGTGTCACACGCAGCACAGCCCCCCGTCAGAGAGCCACCGCGCGACTTGCTCTCCCGCACCAAACATCCCAGGCATCTGCTTTTTAGGTGAAGGATAAATGCAAACCAAGAGGCGTTTTAGAGTACGGTGTGCAGCCCGGTGCATGTGTTTCTCGAAGTCTGTGGCCGTTATTCAGTTTAACTGTCCCCTACGGAATGCGCAGGACAAACAGTGCTGTTCATCGCAGCGAGGCAGCGCAGCATGTGGGAAGCGTTTGCATCACCAGTGACAGGAATCTCGCTGCTGCTTTCAGAAGTTACACACAGCAGAAAAAAGGCCCACCCTCTCACAAATGTCCGAAGCCAGGCAAAGATTCGCAGTCAGCTTTTCTTAGGGCCCCTCGTCTGGATGGGACGTTCGGATAGTAAAGCAAACGGAGCGTTACAGAGGAATACGCTGCAGAAGGGAGAATTACTTCCCCGTCAGGCGCCGCGTAATTCCCTGCCTTAAGAAGGCTCGCTTTTATGGGTATTGCAATAACAGGCTGTAAACTTGTTTTCTTAGTTCCTGATGTATTAATAAGGTTGTTTATATTAATTGTTAACTCAACAAATGGCTAATCGTAATAGCTGTGTTTTAAACGCATACCTTTGACTTCTACACACTTTCTTCTATAAATGCAAATTCTTTTTATTCCAAATCTATATCATGTACTTTAAGATCTAGCAAGTAAGAATCCCTACCAGAGGGACATTAAGTACTGCTAAACATATTACAGTGTGCAGTCCCAACAGTAAGAAATGCTCTAGGACAGAAAAAGCTGTTAAAAGCATTGTAGTGTAAATAATAATTTGAAGATGTCTGAGAAACAGAGAAATTCAGGCTTTTCTTGCTGTGCCTAGAAGTGAGGAGGAACGTGCCCACAGTCTCATGAAGGAAATGTGAAATGCAATTAATTTAAAAAAGGCATTCATTTTCACAGGCTAACAGTGTGCCCTGGCTTGTGTGCATGTGCATGTCTCGACACACGCTGCCAGAAATCCCGGCTGTACCGTACCTTTACCTCCCTGTTGCTGCAGACTTTCTTCTCCATCATTCAAGTTTGCTTTTCATTAAAGTCCGCTCCAGTGGCACTTGTGGCATTTGATGTATTTTGAACTATTACTTTTTTGAGCCGAGTGCCTGAGAAGTAATACGCAGAGCCTCGCTGCCTCTGGCGTGCTGTGATGGTTTAGCAGTGCTGCTGTCTCCAGAGGTTTTTGCAATATAAATCCTGGCCGGGAAATCCTGACCCCACTGAAGCCAACGGCAAAAATTCCCGCCGGCTTCAGCGGAGCGGGGATTTCAGCCTGTCTGCTCTGCCCTTTGCGAAATTTTCCCCTCATGTGATGAGAAGCCTCACCGGGAAGT